TGCATATCACGTTCTTAGAATCGTAAGTCAAACCATCATATATTGGGAACCATCTGTAGAGGGAATTGAACTACTCTCCAGAGGAAGGGCCAAGAACTGTTTAGCCAATAATGGGCATAATGTGCTTTACTTTTTGCATTTTTGCCATTGATTCAATTGTGGAAATTTCCAAAACTAAAATTTTAGGAATTTCTGTTGTGAATATGCAGATTTTCAAAGTTGAGAGACTATGATTTAGAGAAGTGCAGTATCTGTGATAAAAACTGAATTAAGAAGCAGGAGACCTAGAATCTCAGCACAGAACAACGTTGGATGAGTGACACTTCACAACGTGAAGACTTATTATAAAACTACAGTAATAAAGACAATGTGGTGTTGGCAAAAAAATAGATCAGATCAGTGTAACAGAATATTAGAAATTGACCCACACAAATGTAATCAACTGACTGCAGGCAGTTGAATGGAGAAAAAATAGTCTTTTCAACAAATGGTACTGGAACAACTAGACACCCACATGCAAAAAGAAAATGAATCTATACATAGATGTTCCATCACATAAATTAATTCAAAATAGATCATAGTCCTAAATATAAAGTACAAAACCATACAATTTCTAAAAGATAACATAGAAAAAAATCTAAGTGATCTTGGGTTTGGAGATGACATTTTTCGATACAACACTAAAAGCACAATCCATGAATGAAAAAAAATGATAAACTGGATTTCATTAAGATTAAAACTTTTGTTCTGCCAAAGGTACTCTTAAGAGAATCATAAGACAAGCCACAGACTGGAAGAAGATAATCGGAAAGACACAAATCTGATGAAGGACTTACATTAAAAATATACAAATATCTTAAAACTTAACAGTAAGAAAAAATTACAAAATAGACAAAGATATGAACAGACACCTCACCAAAAATGATATACAAATGGAAAATAAGCATAAGAAAAGACACTACAAATAAAAAAGTTCCACATCATTTCTCATTGTCAGAACAATGAGAATACCACCTCATGCCTATCAGATTTGCCAAAATCCAGAACCCTGGAAATATCAAATTCTACAGAGGATGTGGAACAACAAGAACTCATTGCTGGTGGGAATGAAAAATGGTTCAATCATTGTGGAAAGCAGTCTGACAGTTTCTTACAAAGCTAAACATAGGCTTATCATTTAATCCAGCAATTAATAATGAAAATCCTAGATTTTTACCATAATAAATTGAAAATCATATCCACATAAAAACATGAACATAAATGTCTATAGTAGCAACCACGATGTCTTTCAATAGATGAATGAATACATAAACTGTGGGATATCCATACAATGGGATATTATTTAGTGATTCAAAAAAGAGTTTCTCAAGCTATGAAAAAGTCTGGAGGGCCTTTAAAGGTATACAGTGAAATGAAAACAGCCAGTGTGAAAACATTCAGACTGTATGGTTCCACCTAATGATATTCTGGAAAAGGCAAAACTATATAGACATTAAAAAGATTAGTGGTTGCTAAAGGTTTGGAGTGGGGACAAGAAGAGGGGTGATATATGGAGCACAGGACATTTTCAGGTCAGTGAAACTGCTCTGTATGATATCATAGTAGATACATGACTTACGCATTTGTCAAAACTCACAGAATTAAAAAACACAAAGACTAACTTATAAAATAAACTATGGACTTTCATTAATAAATATGTATCAATAATGGTTTATCAATTGTAACACATTCTACATTAATGCAAGATGTTAATAATGGGAGAAACTGTGTGTTGGTGGGAGGGAGTATATGGAACTCTGCACTTTCAATGACTCAATTTTCTGTAAACTGAATCTGCTCTGAAAAATAAGTCTATTACTTAAAATGATTGAAGAAGAAGTAGCACTTCAAATGGAAAATCAATTGAAATGGAATGCTTTCTGTTAAAAAGATATGAAAAATAAGAAGGTAAAGAGCAGTGATATCATTTTACTATAAATAAATGCAATTAGAATGAAGATTCCTACTTAGCACTGCATCATTTTATAATACATTTCTATCTTAAATATATTTAAATCACAATCTATTACAAAGTGGTATCTTAAGTCTAGTATTAAATGTTTACTCAGGTTGTCATTTTCCTTATGATTTATTTAGCAATAACCTTATAAGAATACCTTAGCAAATATAAAATGTTTTTTAATTGATTGAAAAATACATAGTGAAATAACAAATAGCATAATATATAAAATGATGTTTATTCTTCTTCAAAATTTTTAACTTAGGTGACTGACACAAATGAAAATCTGCAGTTTTTTCATTTTAAATAATGCCTTTTACACCATTTTTCTTTCTCTATTCCTTTTGTATGTGTGTAGTGGGTGGTTTTGTGTTTTTATACTTCTTATTTTAAAATAATTTTACAAAAACATTGAGAAGAAGGTATAGAGGGTTTTTTTGGTGTACTTTTTACCCATCTTCCACTAATTTTAACATCTTACCTATTGTTCATTCATCAAAACTTAGAAATTGACATTGGTGCAATACTATTAATCAAACTATAGATGTTCTTACTTCACCAGCTTTTCCATGAATTTTCTCTTTTCTAGGAAACAATCAGGTTACCACCTTGAATTTCTAGTTATGTTCCCAAATAGTCTCTTTTAATCTGTCACAATCCCTCAATTTTTTCTTATTCTTCATATTCTTGATATTATCGAAGAGTACTAGGTATTTTGTAGAATTCCTCTCAATTTGTGTTTGATGTTTTCTCATTACTGAGGTAACGAACTTTTGGAAGAATAGCACAGAGGTGGTGTCCTCAGCTCATGATAAAAGTGGGTACATGATATCAACATGACTTTTCATAGCGATATTAAACTTGGCCTCATGGTTAAAATGCTGTCTGCCTACCAATTTTCTCCACAATAGAGTTTCTGTTTTCCTTTTCCATTCACTATTTTTTGTAAGTGTGTCACTAAGTGAAGACTACACTCAAGCAAAGAGTATCCACTCTTGGAATTCTTGTGTAAGGAAAATTCATCCCGTGTTGCTGTTTGTTTATTTATTCAGTCATTTGTTTTTAGCAGTATGGATTCATGGACATTTATATTATTCTAAGTCAGAATCTACTGTTGTGAATATTTTCTTACTTGAACTATTTCAACTTTGGCAATGGAACCCTTTTGGTTTGGGTCCTGTGTCCTTTTGACTATTCCTTTCTTAAAAATAGAAACTATTATGTAGGTTGCAGTTATGTATTTTAATATATTGCAATAGTAGTTTACATCAGCATGCAATTAGCATCACATCATTCTGCCTCACCATCAAGATACATTATTAATTAATTTATTTGTTTCAATACAAGTTTATTGGGCACCTACTGTGTGCCAGACACTAGGTACTGTAGATAGATTAGGGCATGAGATAAGAGATACAACAAGATGCTGATGATACAGAGTCTTGTAGATCTTTGCAGAGAATTTTGATTTTTCTGCTTGCATAAATTAGAAGCACCTGCAGTGCCTTGAGCAGATTATTGCATTATCTTCTTTAATATAGAGCCTGATCACTCTAGCTGCTGTGTTAAGATGAGACTCTAAATTGGCTATTGTTACATAGGGAGACCAGTATGGAAAAGCAATACACATGAGAGATTTTTTGGAGGTAGCTGTGAGGATGGTGAGAAGACTGTATTCTGGATTTCTAATACATTAGATCTGAGGAGTGGGAGAAAGGAAGGCACTAAGGATGGCTCCTAGTTTGTAGTCCTGAATAACTGGGGTGATAAAATTGTACATCATGTGCACACACACACATGTATGTGTAAATGTATGCACACTATACATACACACATCCAATATACATATATAGTTCTGTCTTCTATGTTTTTAAAAATATTATATTTTGAGTGTAATGGTGGTCTCAAGTATGAAAATGATAACTGAGCAATGTGCAAGTGAATCTCCAGTGCATAATATGTAATCAAAATTAAAAATAAATAATACTTATTTTACTTACTGATAAAAGATTAGGCTCATATAGATTTCCCCTTTCTAAGTTTAGCCATTTTTCCTTTTCATGTTTTCATTGAAAATAACATTCCAGAATATTCTCCTGTAATATCCCGTTGTATCAGTGACAACATATTTTGGATTTATTTCAGTTGTTTCTTCACCAGATTTACAGGTTTGCATACCTGGAGTCTTTTTCACAAACCCTTTCCCAGATTGTTTATCGTTTATCATTGCTAATTCTGAGATTACTTGACTTTGTCATAACTTAGGGTTGTGGTAAATGTAATGTTTAGTATATAAAATTTGTATATAAAATAATGATTTTCCAATGCTATAAAATGTATAGAAATGTTAAAATAACATTTACTTCCTTTTCCTTGATTTATAAAATTGCTCTCTACATACTTCAATCTCATAGAAGACTTGTCATCTTTCTGTTCCCTGTATGGGGTGAAGAATTCATCCATTTGTATCAGATATATCAGGTATATATTTGATTCAAATATCTGTATACATATATATCAGGCTCTTTATATAAATGCTTATATACATATACATATATATATATTAAAAATTATGTGACCGGGCCTTACCTTAGCCAGCATCTATAAGAAATTTTGTTATGTAATAATGTATTAGGAGTCTTTAAATTTAACTATAAGATAGCATGATGCTAATTTTAAATACATCTAAGTGTGAATAATAATATATGTGCTTGAAGATTAATGCATCCAGAATTCAGAGATAATAAAAGCTCCATCTGCTTTTTTCTTGCTTTGGAATTTCAGAAACTGGTGGCCATATTAAGAAGCAGAGATAAAAGGAGAAGGCAAGGAATAATTTGAGTGCTGGTAAAGTAATCCCCAACTCTGCAGCAATTCACAATAGTGTGTTATATATAGAAACAGATCAGTCATTGTTTTCAAGCCTGCTAAATAAAACTGAACTCTCGGAATGGCACGCCACTTGACCTTTCTGGGTCTCACCAGCAGTATTTAACTGGCACACAGGGAACACACTTGCAAGTGTCTCCTGTTGACATGACAGATTCTCCTGGTGGTTCACACAATGTTCAAAAGGCACAAATCCCTTGCTTCAGGACGCAAGAGAGAATTGTTTTCTCAAGGAGCTACACGGTCCATATTGAAGAATGACATGAGAAATTTTCACTCTGTGTCACAATTTGTACTCTCAGCAGGCCCTCTAAAATCAATTCCAGCAGTTAAACATTCAAAAACTGTTCACTTTGAGATTGAAATACTTGATGCTCAAACAAGAAAGCAGATATGTATTGTGGATAAGGTGAGTTTTATTTATTATTTATTCATTCATTCGTTCATTCATTTATTTACTTAAATTTCTCTCAGCTGCCCCTAAGATGGTTGATCACTTGATCAAGTGCTGACAAGACTGTAACAAAATCTGTAATTGGCCTTTAGTGTTCATTTTATGATGAGGAGGATAGATATTTTATATGTTGTTTCAATAGAAGATATTTTCTGCATCGTTCAGACTCCATTTAAATAGTAGTTAGTAATTATTATGTTCTGGGTTTCCTGATAACACTGACCATTGTCAGGAGGTAAAATTTCCAGTGCTCAGCTTCACAGCCTAAATGACAAAATATCTTTAGGTTTTTCTCTTCATGCACTTTTTTGCATATTCACCTTATATAGAATTTTTATAGTGTTTGTAGAAAATAGCAAACAAGGGCACTAAGGCTAATAAAAGTAATATTTAGCATATATGATAAAGTCTAGTCATTTAAAAACAATTTTGAATCAGTTTAGCTTGAAAAATGAACATCTCCCTTTTCCTGAGAAGTTTACCTGCTTCAAAAACAAAATGTTTAAATTCTGAAAAAGAACGACTACTTAATATGCTACACCTCTATATTCATATAATAGATGTTTCACTAAAAAAAGATAAAATATATACTTTCTAAAGTAGAAAATCAACACACAAATACATGTGTACATTGTAGATAGTATATATGTGTACACAATATTCCAAACATTTTCAGTTTTCCAAAAGTTTGGAGATACTAATAGTTTAATTTATTATGAGAAAGACTAATACATTTAACAAAAATATATCTGAATTAATTTTGTTTTACAGTCATGTTGAAAAAGTTTTTTGCTGTTCTAAAAATAAAATTCAATCACTTATTCCACTTAACTATACTCTAGCTGTATTTCTAGATAAGAGGGAAAAAAGAAGAAACTGTTTATTGCTTTTAATTGCAAAGAAGATCATATATACTTTCTTATTTAGTAATTATAATATTATAACCAGCTCTTTAGTTGGGTAATATTAACTTTTATTTAGAGGTGGGAATAACAGAAAAAAATCTTCTACAAGTTCGTACAGGTGATAAGTGGAATGTAAGAGATTCAAAACCATTTCTATGAAACTAAATCACATTCTTTTTTTATAGTACTAGTGGGGACATGTATAAGTAATGATTATATATTATGCATAATAGAATTTTATCTTTTGAACTTCATGCATGTTATAATTTACTTCTATTTTAGTATCACAGGAAAGGCTTTACATTTTTTGTATCATACAGGAATAAGACAAAAATAAAAAATAAAATTATCATCCAGTAGTTGCTGATGTTTGTTATATCTCACTACTGAAAATATAAAACTTATAAGAAAAATACGATTAAATCAAGGGAAACACAGCAATGAATGGAATGGATATTAAAATGGTCAAGGATTTTCAAAGACAAAGATTCTAAAATAAAACTAGTTATTATGTCCTTTCTACGTGTGTCCAGACCTCAACATAAAATCCACCTTACCGTAATGAGAAACCAGTGGACTCCTAATTCTTTTTCTCCTACATTTAAATTTTCTGTTACTGAGATTTTATTTGAAGCTAGCTTCACATTTCTAGGTATTAATTAAATTGCAAATAATTTAAGCATGCAGAAAGCCAGCATTCTTTAGAAAGAATGATCTTGCTTAGGGATATCCCATTTGAACTGTAAGAGCCCTGGTATTTGCTTCTCCAGCGGTAAACCTTTAAGGGAAGCTCAGCAAGCTAACTAGGGGATTAAGTCTGGATTCCTCACCAGGCTTTACTGAGCAATCAACACCATATGATATGCAACTTACTGCATCCAGATCGTTGGCTTGTCAGTACAACTACATTTCGTTTCTTCTGGTTTTACTTTGTAACTTGGTGAGTTATCTCATAACGATGGTTAAGATATTCGAAAAAAAATAGCCTGGATTAATTTACATTGTTTTGCTTCATGATTCCTAATGGTTTAAATCGGGAAACATGAAAAAAGCTGATTTTGTTTGTTGTTTGTTTTTCATAGATAGATTAACAGCTATACTAACAGCAAGTCCAGTTAAGTGTCCTTCATTGTACTTGGCACTACCCAAAAGAAGTGCTGCTTATGCCTTAGTCCTTGTCTTTCTAAGTACTATTTCAATAAGCGTAAAAGTTAAAGGCCAGGTGCTTTGAACTAAGCATATCTGGATTGCATCCCTGCTTCTTCAATCATATCTATCAAGGCTCAAGAAAGTCACTGAATTGCTGATCCCCAGGACCCTAATTTACAATATGGGTTAAATAAAATATTCTGTAATCTTATAGTAAAGAGTAGGAATAATATTTAATATGGTTAGCAGAGTGCCTTGAGCTTAAGGGACAATTTTTATATTTTATTTGTAATAATCATTGGGAGAAATACATTCAATGCTCATAAAAATCCGAGAAAAAAAATCAGTGATGAGCCTTGTGATAGTGGCACAGAATTTAAATTTGACTTCTTCATAATTATCCATTAACATGATTTGTTATAATACTTATATTAAATATACATTTTCAAATACCTTGAGTGGGATGTTTGTATTTTATAACACATTCTGAGCTCTAGAAGACTTTTAGTTTTTATCTAGATATTATAATTTAAACTTCAGAATGGAGAAAGTATATACTCAAGATATTCATGAAACAAAAATATGGAGTTAATTCCTAGGATTTAAAATAATATATTCAATCATGTTCTTTTACTCACACACACACACACACACACACACACACACACACACAACACAAAACAAACAAAAAACCTTTTCTTGCCTTCACTATCTTCTCCAGTTTCTGCCCCATTTCTCTCATCATGTTCACATTGTCTGTTCACATCTCCCTTTACTCATTCTATCCTACAACTACTCCATGCAGGCATTTCCTCCAACACTTCTCAGAATATTGAACTTGCCAAGGTCACCAGAGAAGCAGTGATAAGTACCTTGCTAAATCCAAAGGTCAATTTTCATGCTTTATCTTACTCAGTATATCAGCAGCATTTGCCATTGTTAAGCACATTCTCCTCCGTAAACACTTTTGCTATTTGAGTTCACAGATAATACACACATTTTTTTTTTAAACCTACTTCATTGGCTTCTCCTTTTCCTCCTGCTGCTGCTTCATCCTCTGATTTGTTAGCTGTGGACAATCAGAATGTTTCTCCATTTAGTCATTTACATTATTGAGTCCCATAGTTTTAAATATCATCTGCCTATTGATGACTTATAAACATATAACTGTTCCTTATCCTTTTTTCCTGAACTACAAATCGATTTATGTGTGTAACTATATATCTGTGTATTTATGTATCTACCCATCTATCAATCTATCTATTTGGATGTTTACTAGGCATCTCAAACTTTTAAAACTGAGCAACTGGTCTTTCTCCAAAATATTCCCACAGTTTTTCAATGATTAAGTAGCAGCTACATGCTTCGAATAGCTCAAGCCAAACACTTCAGGGCATCATGACTCGTCTCTTAATCTCATGCCCTACATAACCCATCTTCACAGTGATACCTTCAGATATATCCAAACTGACACATTTTCACCACTTCTTCTGCCAGCACCTCTAAATCTTTCCTCTGCTCTATCCTTAGCACCTTCAATATATTCCGTACCTACCAACCTGAACCAGCCAGTTAAATTGTTCCAGAACTATTCAGAACTAGTTAATGTCCTCTTTAGATCTTAATGGTTGTGTTTTCAAGGGCCTTTCCTAACTACCCATTCAAAATTCCATAATCTGCTAATATTATTAATATTATTTTCCTTCCCTGTTCTGTTTCTTTACTTGTACTTATTACCATTTAACACATTACTTATTTTCCTGTTTTCATTTTGTTTATTTCTGAGTTTGCCTACCCTCATTATGTCCCTTCACAAAGTCAGGGATTTATTTTTCTTCACTCCTGTATTTCCAACATTTAAAATAGTGTTTGGCACAAAGAAAGTGTTTAAACAATACGTATTGAATAAATTAATGCCTGTTAAAGAGATACGTGGATTTAATAATGCACTCATGTTTAGTAGTGGTTATTTTGGAGTACAGGAGTATGATATTTGAAAATAGAATGCTCATTGCAATTAAATGTAAATATATTCACAGAAGAAAACATTTAATCAAATGATTCAACTGAGTGCAAAATTTCTTCCTGCCTTGCTCCCAACAGAAAGTTTAATGAATTTAACTTTGTATTGTTATATAACTTACTAACAGTCATTTTCTGATAACAAAAGCTAACAAGCTTTTGATAAAGAAGCCAATGCAGATGGGAATTTTTATTTAACTAATCTATTCCCCACAAATGAGTAAAATAAATGACTAACCAAAGATGGTAAGGTGGAGAAAATATTTAAAATACCAAATATTTAAAATTTAAAGTATTAAAATAAGGTGGAGAAAACTGTTAAATATCATTCTTAAGTATTTATTGGACCATCAGTAAATATATAGAAAAATAAATTTTAAAAATTTACAATAAGTAATTTCCAGTTGCTAACTATCCCTGTCTCACTTGTATTTTTAAAATGTCAGAAGCTTACCTAGTTAGTGATAAATTGATGATTCAAGAGCATGGCAAGACCTTTAAATGTTAAAATTGATAAACATTTCCAATATCTTCACATTCCTTTTTTGTTAATCTTTTATTCAAGGAACTTGACCTCAAGAGTCCCACAGTTTTATTTGTCCTATGTACAAACTCTCAAGAGCTTTTTAAAGACTTCTTGCAAATACAAGAAAACACTAAAAAATTCTCCAATCCTTCCAATCCTTCTAATGGTAAAAATACAAATTTTCACCGGAATATAGTAGAGAGGATTATAGGGTAGTAAGACTGCATAAAATTGTAATTTTAATACTTTAGTTAGAAACTTTGAGAAGTCTTAATTTCTGATGTTGCCAGTTTTAATATCTTGCCTTGGGCACATGGCTTAGTGTATGTGTGCCTCAGTTTGTTCATCTGTGAAATGAGAATGGCACCTGTCTTAAGATGGGCCTCATGGCAGTTATCGTGATTTCACGTATATGCAAATGATAGTAACTTCTTTTTCTTCCATTCCTCTTTTTCCCTTCCTTGTCTTCTTTTTTCTTCTTCCCTTTTTCCTCTCCATCCTTTATATATTCCTCCCATGTCTGCACCCTTTTTCCTCCCTTCCTGCTCAGTCCCCGTCTTCCTACAGCATGATATAATTGAAAGTTTATAAGCTTTGGATTCAGATAGACCATAATTTTAATATTATAAGTCTAGCTGCTTTTTATTTTCCTTGGATATGGTCCAATATCTATGCCCACATTATCTTTTTCTGTAAAAGGATTTAGGTATTATTATTCTTCCCCATTATAAAGGAAGAAATGGAGGTACAGAGAGTTGAAATAAAGAACTTAATTATGTGTAAGAACCAAGCTTTAAACCTGTCCAAAAATGTTCTGTGCCTTATTCCAAACTATTATACACTACCACTTGACAGACATTTGTGACTTTCACTAGCCAAATTATCATATTGTATTTAATGTATGATTGGAGGATCTGACTTTAACTCTCTATTCTGACACAGAGAATGTGTTTCAGGACAGAGGTGCTATAAATACCATATGATTTCACTTATATGTGGAATCTAAAAACAAAACAAAACAAAAGACCCAGAAACTGACTCACAAATATGAGAAAAAACTATTCGTTGCTGGGGGTTGGGGGATGGACAGAGTACAAGCAAAATAGGTAGAAGGGATTAAGAGGTACAAACTTTGAGTTGTAAAATAAAATCACAGAGATGAAAAGTAAAGCATGGGGAATATAGTCAATAATATTGTAATAATTTGGTATGGTGACCGATGATAAGTACACTTATCATGGTGAGCATTTTATAATGTATATAAATGTCGAATCACCATGTTGCACACTTGACATTATAGTATTATGTCAAGTATACTTCAAAAAAACCCAGAAAACAACAGAGGTGCTATATTCAAAGGGTGTCTATTTGCCCTTCCTTTTGAGACAAAAGATTCTTAAGTATTCTTTTATTTTTTAGATATAGACATGAAATAACATTATTTAATATTCAAACTTAGAAATTAAAAATATTTTTAAAGTCCCCTCAATAATAAAATAAGGATAAAATGTGCTCAAAAATGTTTATATCATTAAAAATTTTTAAACTGAGAGGAACATAATTAGCATAATTTTCTATGAACCAGAGGAGCCCCAATTGCCAGCCCTCTTTTTAGATACTTAGAAATTCAATAATATAGTATACAGTTCTAGTTTCAAAAGAATCAGTGTACTTTGTCTAACTTTCTATTTTAGATAGTGGTGATATATTAGAAATATTTCACTGAAGTAGGAAAACAATTGAATTAATTCTTTTCTATTATGACTGTAAAATTTAGGCATGTTTTATGATAGCCATTATCCTTTTGTAAAATGGTTAGAATGTATTAGAATTAGAAAGTATAGTCACGGGACCTTCTTTACAGCATAAGTTTCTAGTATTCTATATCCAACTCTGATACTTCAAATATGCATTGATTACTTATACCATTATATATTTATGAAATATGCCAATGGATATATGTATAAACATTGCACATCAATGCAATAATAGAAAAGGAAATGGATATACTCTAGAAAACTATTTATGCATAATACTTACAAAACAAATATAGACTATTATGTGCATTCAGTTAGATTATGTCTACATTTTTCCATGTTCCAGATGTATCATCACACAAGAAAACTGTCTTTGTTTATGGTTAAGCTATAAAGAAGATGTCATTTTTATCTCCTAATACATGAGTTGCAATGATACTCCATTTAGAGGGTCAACATGGCTGAATAAATTTTTAAGGATTTAAATAAAGGATAAAATATTTAAAGGATGCATCTAGAAAGAGAAGAGTTGAAATTTATCATATTCAGTGATTCTCCAGCTCTCTATTTTGAATTTTATAATGTCAAAATCAAGTATTTATTCAATAGATATTTGTTGAGATATTTGTCTATTCTGTGTTTGAGATAATGCATTAACTCAAACAGATGCTATTCCTATTCTCCTAGATTTTATTCTTTCCTGTGGAAGAAAAATATGGTAGAAGTAACTTTAAGTGCAAAGATATCCACATAGTCAGAGGAAAATCCAGGTAATTTGGGGTGGTAGACAAAGGGACATAACTTAGTCTGTGGCACAGGAAAGTCTCTCAGGAGAAATGCTGTTTAACTGTGGCCCAGATTGTGGGTAAAATGAACAGAAATAGGGGGATATGTTATGAACATTTAGGAGGGAGAGACATCAGGACATATCTGGTTGTCCAGAATGAGGGACAGGAAGGACATAAGTGCTGACAGGAAGGACATGAGGTACTGTTTGAGCAAGTGAAGATCCTGAGGATGGTATAATTTACTGAATCATTTTTGTGTGTTTATTTTTGTTGTTATTTGTTTGCTTTCTTAATTTTGGTACAGACAAGTAGAAAGGCAGATAGGAAACAAACACTCAGTTTTGTTCACTTTAAGTTGGATATCCAAGCAGAGATAACCAGCTGGTATCTGGGTGTGAAGACCTAGAAGTCAGCAGAGTAGTCATGATGAAGTATTTTTACTTGAAAATTAGAAACATACAGGTGGTCTTTACAGCCATCAAAGTAGAGAAGACAAATTCTAGAAAAGACAATGTGATGGATAAGAAGAAGATAAAAACAAGTAAGAGGCCTGAGGAATTCCAACATGTAAAGGTCTTAAGTAAAGGGAAGATGAAGAAGGAAAATAAGTTTTCAGAGAGACAGAAGAAATATGGGAAATGCTGCATTACAGAAGCCTAAGAAAGAATATTTGAGTGAGAAGGAAGAGATCAGTGGAGTTAAATGCAGCTAGAGAAATATATGTATTCCATGTATAAGTGCTGTATTGTTCCTTTTTGAATTTAACTAGAACACATTAGGCACAGTGATTTGGAGAAAAGTCTAGTTTGGAGTGGGGAGTAACAACTAGTGAAAATAAGATATTTGAGTTTCCTACAAGACCTTCCTTTTTAAGTACCAGAAGTCTTGAAAAACTTGTCCCATTTTCTTCATTCTTCAATTCTATACTGATTCTCATGTTGTCCAGTTCACATACTTGGGATTATCTTCTACCGCTTCTCCATTACTCCATGTTTCAACATTCTATACAACTCACCCATGCCAGAAGAATCTTCTAATTTTCTTTCTTTGAGTTTTGACAACTCCTTTGTGTGCCACATTTTATCTCCTATAAGAAGATGTGTTTCTAGTCCTAGTGATAGTTGAAATCTCCATTATATACATTACACAACCTAGCGGTTGGGAACAAGCATTTGTAAATTGTCATAACAAATTGAAGGAATAATCTCATGCTTGTTCAATGAAATAACTTCTTTTTAATGAGAAATGAATTTGGTTATATCAGTGTTTCATTTTTTTTATAGTAATTTATTTTCATTTTATTTTACAAATGTAAAAGTAGACATGACAAAGTAGAAAAAAAATTTTGAATGATACTTAATCCTATATAGTTTGGGAAGTACTAAACTAGATGATATAGAAATGACCTTTTCAATATCACCATAATTCAAACAGATGAAGTGTCCTCAATGCTATTATATAATAAATGTGTGTTGGATTCAAAATTAGAACATGTCATTTCCAGGCTCCTTCTAGGTTTCATTCTAAAGATTGCATTTTCTTGACAGGCAAAATAGAATAATAATTTTCAAAGGTTTGTGCTGGAAATATAGAATGAATCTTATAACTAAAGTGACATATTTTTAGACCAATGAAGTAAATAACTCATAATTTCCTTAGGAATTTAAAAGATGGGGTCAAAAAGAAATGCTAACCATTAAGGGAAGAACAGTAAGAGGGATATATTAAAAAGAGAGCCTGTTTCCTATTAAGTCAAGACTAAATGAAGAAAGTTAACAGAAGAACGTGTTTTAAAAAGCCCATAAGACTTAGATACATTTTCTGTGTAAAGAACCTAGCAGTGAAGTGGTGGCTATATCCAAAAGAGACATATAAGGGGGAGAGAGCTATATCTACTTTGTTATTCAAATTAGACAAATGATTACTTTATGAGTGACTACTATTCTTTAGATTATATGGAGTTGAAAATCACCCTGATATGCATGAGTCATGTTTGAAGGACAGATTACACATTTTAAAACAAATTATAGTATGGGAAACAGCATACACAAGTTTCTAAGAAGACTGTGGAAATAATCCTTTTATCCTATAGAGGTTTAGGCACAGGGATGAGAAACTAAGCTGAATTCAGGAGAAGGAACCACTCAAAAAGATCTTTAAAAATATATAGTACAATATATCAGTATTAGTTGGGTAGAAAAAGCATACCAGGAGGAAGAATTAGCATATCAAAGATAAAGATGCTGAAAAGCAACAAGCAAGGTTTCTGGCCTGATGTAATTTAGTCCATGGTATGATGATGCAGAATGGAGCAAATTGAACAGATCATCTGATTGGGACTGATGATAGTAGGCCTAGATGCTTTTCTAAGGCATTAGGACTTTTTCTTTTCTTTCACATTAGGGGGATAATATTTCCAGATCTACTGTTCATAAAATTAAATCTGGCAACCATGTGGAAGATAGCATGGATAGTAGAAGAGTACAAAAGAGAGTACAAATGAGAATTTTACAAAACTGAGAAGCAAGTCTTTTGCGAGTCTCTTCAGGACTGCCACATTGGGAGGCAAATGATATCATGGGGGTCTGCTTAGACTCTGAAGATACTCAGCCACTTCTCATGCTTACACAGCTTAGACATTGAGCAATGTCTTTAATTTACTTTCCCTTATATTTCATTGACACAAGTTATCTTTTTGTTTGACACCTAAACAAACAAAAAATTCCATAAGGAATTTCCTTAAGGAAATGACTATGGGCCAGAGCCTTGAATAAAGTAGGACATAAATAACAAAATAAAATTTACAAGTTTAATAATAATAAGAAAATTCTCACATCAATTAAATATATATTAAATAACAATGAAATGAAGGATGGTTTAATACAATTTTCACACTGTAATAAAAAATCGAACCTAAATTATATTTTTTCTTATGCAAGTGTATATAATCCACGTTTGGGTAATATCTATGAAACAATTGAAACTAAATACAAATCTGGAGCACATCTCTGGGTCACACTTGAAACTTTAATAAAGTTTAAAGTTTTATATATTTTCTAATTTAATCTTTACTGAACACCATGTATGTAACAAAACAGAGTTATGCAGCAAATATTCTGTGCTTTATATCAAATGTCTTTATAGCCCACACAGGTAAGAGTGAGACAGACATCTATATCTGCATGCAATGGAATGGAATGTGGTAATATAGGGGAAAGGAATATGATATTCCATTACCATTTTATTTGAGTTAAATTTAGTTTAACCAGGATTTTGCTGTTTGGATTTGTAATGAATTAAGGCAATTGTTCTATATGTAAAAGTGTTAGAAATTTGTCAAATTTTGTGGTGCACAGGGTGTCAGATGGCGAGCTGAGGTTCAACAGCAAACCAAAAGAGAGTCTTAAATGGGGAAGTTTGTTACTCACAGGTCCTGGCGGAAGTGTCCAGCAGGCCTTAAGGATCTACCATGGGAGGTCAAGACAGAGTACAGACAGAGAGGGACATGGGATCTGGGCACATGCCTTTGTAGGGCCCATGGGTGGAGTGTTTTGGGTTCACAGGCTACGACCAGTTTAGTTAATATGAACCAGAAGAGTGAAGTTTTGGTAAGCCCCTGAGGGGTCTTACCTAAGGAGTATGAAAAGAGCAGGCATGGAGGCAGGGAAGACTGTTGATCATGAGAGTTACTGGGAAGATCATGTCACAAATGTACATTTACTTGTGACTCTACGGGCTGCTATGTAGGACATGCAATTGCATGAAGGGCTGCAGTCACTTTAGGGTCACTGTGGACCCACTGGCCAAACAAAGCAGGTGCCAAGGCAGCAATACTGGGGAGCAACTTAGTGAGCCTTTCAACAAAATCTAAGATGTTCATCTATTAATTACCAGAAAGTTTATGATGAAGGAATTCTTAGTTTTTAGTGATCTAACAATTCAAGCAAAAAAGATAAAGACTGTTTACATAATGTGTTTCTAGGAAATAGTTTTGGTTTGATTTTTTTAAGCTTTTGTGGGATTCCTTTTTTTTTTGGAAATCAAAGGAAATTGTATTTTAGGCATATGCCTTGCTTGTCCACGTAAATATTTTACTGGTACTTTTTGGTAGCCTGATAAATAACTATAAAAATCATTTGCTAACTTGCTGCTGTGATCTGAATGTATACTTAAATGTAACACACTTTTTTACAGTTCCTTTTACTGACCTTACTACATGAGGTTATCTAGTGGCAACTTTCTTTCCTGCAACTTTTCCTTATATCATTAGTAACTAACAAATGAGCAGTAATTTAAGGCAACATCAGGAAATAAATATTGCAGGGTTTTGGTGTGTGTGTGTGTATTTTAAATTACTTAAAGGGATCTGAGGGAACAATATTATAGCAAATGGAAACTGATATTTCTATCACATTAAACTTTTAATATCCTCACAATACATATTTGTGGACACACATTTATGCTCCCTGAGGTTTTCAGTTTGTGTTCTTAGAAACACAGGAGTGATAAAATTTATATTTTTGCTAGAATTTGTGTAATGACTGTATCTACGCTTTACACAGTGCTAAATTATACATAAGTGTGATCTTAGATTTATGTATATTTACACTGCACCTTACTTCCTACTGTGAAAACTATGCTATTTGTAGGGCCATATGATAAGAGCTCAAAGGTTTGAAGTCAATCATTGTTGGGAGGTAGATTACCTTTAAAATGCTTTCAGTTGATTACTTCCACATACCTTTGAGAGTATCTTGCAGGGCCATAATTCTAGAACAATACCTGTATTCCTCTTCCCTCCCTCTCTCCTTCCTTCCTATTTGTTTTTCTTTATATACATTGAAGAATACCAATCTTCCCACTGGTAGGCATTATAACAGACCCTGGGAAGAACAGGATGAAAACTAAACCAAACCAAAGAAAATATGTTCCTTTCTCTTCAGATGTTCACCATAGTGTGATGGATAATCACATGTAAATAGTCCAACACGAGATCATAGAACACACGCTAAAACAGAGTTATGAACAAGGTGCTGCCTGAGCCCAAAGGGTTGATTTTCTTTTCTAGGTTAAGAGTTGAGAGAGGCTTGAGAAATCTCTTCCGGTCATAAACACTTCCAGCAACTGAGAGATCAGCCTGGGGATATCATAACAGTAAAGGGCAATCTCCTAAAGGGGAAATTACCTTCTCTGAATGCCTTCCATCCTCTGCCCTTCAGGCTGTCACTGACGGCATATTGCTATAGAGACACCTCTGGAGAATTCAGGGAGGAAGGTAAAGATGAATTCCCTACCCACTTAAGCATTTCAAATGTACAAACTTTTCAGGCTCCATACCATTAGTATGTTATATTTTATTAGTGGATTTTTAAACTGACAGTCTTCAAATAATCTTCAATCCCTGTTGACCTACTGGGATGTAACTGAGTTATGTGAGCCTACTTCTTGGTCACCACATAAAGCCCATGCATGTCACACTCATTTATTTCCCTAAGAGAAGTTAGTTCTCTTTTAAGACAGATTTCCTTTGAACTGCCTAATACATCTAGATAACAGATATTTTAGTTGAAAATTGATCTTACTCTTAAATCAAGAAATTTTTACCTCTGCCTTCTATAAACTCATCATTCTAACATCATTTTGTGAAGAGTGAATTAATTCTGACCTGTCCTTTCTTATTATTGTAGCTTAAGTTTTCTCAGTTTACTTTCTAATGCCTCCAAAATAAACATTTAATATTATTTCATTTGTAGATGCTTCTGACTTTTAGATTATTGGTTACTGATTTTTTAAAAATAAAAGTATACTGTAGTTAATCATTTAACAAAACCTTTGATGAATTACTGTCTAATTGATTACTTTATCTGTCAATACTAGTTTGTGTGACATTGAATATATATTTATTATTTGCTTCAAAAAATTCATTTAATGAAGTCATATTGTAATCTGAATTTAATTTAATCAGGATTTCAACATAGAATCTGATACATTATTTAGATGATATGTTACTCATTTTTTACACATTGAAAAGTTTCAAAATCTCTCACTCTAAAATTTCTGAGAAACTTCTATCTTAAGACCTATTTTGTAGATTTCTTTTAACTTTTTACATGATAAGAACATAGTAAAACAGCCAGAAGCCCTGAAATATTGATTACTAAATTAAAATCTGGTTCATTAATCTGGAAAGAAAAAGCAAAATAGTTTTTTTTATAGTCATAAAAAAATCTGTAAATCTATTTTTTCCTTTTAGTTTTCAATCAGCCTTACTGCCATTGCACAGACATAATGTCTTCCTAGGTCTTTTTGGTAATAGAATCCCTATAATTTAACGTTCCATGTATGTCATAGTTTAAGTATGAAAGTACAGTTTGGTTAAAACATCTAATTTTCAAGCCAGCTGTTCTTTGTGTTATGCTATGCTATAGCAGGAAAAAAATCTGGAATCAAAGTTTAACTTTGCTTCTTCATACAAAGGCACCCATTTCCCCTTTGCCTGATTATGTCTCTTATAATTACACACAGTGCTCACTCACTATCAAAACAGTCCTAAAAGGAGGGAGTTGCCTAATTGTTGAGGACAAATTCTCCCATAAAAGTGCAATACACACAGTGAAATTTGAAAAGCAGTGCAACAATTTTTCAATGGCTAGCACTATGGAGTGGCATTTATGAGGGCAGTGAGACAAGGTGCAGAAATAATTGTAGCACCTATCTCTGTAATTTGATGTCAAACTAT